GAACAGAGGCTACGCCTTTGTCACCTTCTGCACGAAGGAGGCGGCGCAGGAGGCCGTCAAGCTGGTAAGTGGGCTACGGTGAGCCTGCCGTTGTTGGTGCGGGGAATACCTCCCGGGCCCACCCGCAACGTGACACGGGTTAAATGGAGCGGTTCAGAGTTGCCTCCGCCTGGACTCGGGCCACCGGTTCCAAGTCCGTGACGAATAGCGTGCGTTCCGCCTCGCTAACTTTAGGAATTCCAGCCCCAAAGTTACTTTCGTCCAGCGACGCAGCGAGAACGCTATCGATGCAGTCCTCAATACCGCGTGACAAGGACCCAAGTCAGCCGCATTGTGTCAAGCGACTGCAGGCTATCGTCTCGCAGCTCCTTTAGTGTCGTGGCGCGCCCTCTCGGCAGACTCCGTGACTCCGTTTTTCTTCTCGTCTTTCCATCGGTTCTGGAAGAAGGTCCAGTTCTTGGTCGTCATTTTTCCACTTGAGGTGGAAAACCGTTTTGTCGTATTCTCTTGACTTTGAACGCCGGCAGTTCACGGCGGGCCGCGGCTTGCGCTGAAAGACGTGGCGACAAATGTCAGGAACAGCTGACGAGAACATGTGAACTTTTCTCGGGGTTACCTTCCGACGGCTTGACGAAGCGCTCGCTTGCTCTTTCCGCGTCTTCCGCAGTGCAACAATTGCGAGATCCGACCGGGCAAGCACATCGGCGTGTGCATATCGGTGGCCAACAACCGTCTGTTTGTGGGCTCCATCCCCAAAAGCAAAACCAAGGAGCAGATTGAGGAAGAGTTCTCCAAGGTCACAGGTCAGTCGTCGGTCGCGCGGCGGTCCGCGTCTTGTTCTCCCAATCACGCGGCCGTCTCGTCGCCGCTCGTCTAGAGGGCCTCAGCGACGTCATCCTGTACCATCAGCCCGACGACAAGAAGAAGAACCGAGGTTTCTGCTTCTTGGAGTACGAAGACCACAAAACCGCCGCTCAGGCGCGGCGCCGCCTGATGAGCGGAAAGGTGAAGGTTTGGAACAACGTGGTGACGGTGGAGTGGGCCGACCCCATCGAGGACCCGGACCCCGAGGTCATGGCTAAGGTAACGTCCTCGACGGTCCCTCCGCGCCCCGCCGCTCTCGGGACCTCGCGGCGTAACGGCGGCCGTCTCGTTGCAGGTGAAAGTGTTGTTTGTGCGCAATCTGGCCAATAGCGTCACCGAAGAGATCCTCGAGACGAGCTTCAGCCAGTTTGGAAAAGTGGATCGCGTGAAGAAGCTGAAAGACTATGCATTCGTTCACTTTGAAGAGCGCGACGGCGCCGTCAAGGTACGCCCGCGGCCGCCGCCCGCGTCTGCAAATGGGACGCCTGTTTGGTACATACGGCCGCTGCGTGCAGGCGCTGGCCGAGATGAACGGCAAGGAGCTGGAAGGAGAGCCCGTAGAAATCGTCTTTGCCAAGCCGCCGGATCAGAAAAGGAAAGAACGCAAAGCTCAGCGGCAAGCGGCCAAGACGCAAATGTAAGCAAGCCCCCGCTCGCAGGCGACCGCGACTTTTCCAGCCCGGAGCTGTCGCTCGGCAATTTGCAGCTTGACGGTCGGTCTCGAGGACACGCTTTGGAAAGAGGCGCTTCGGGACAGAGCGCAGAAACCAAAGCCCGGATGTCCGTGGCTGTGTTAGGAACCGGAGACGGAGAAGGGGATTCGAGTCGACTCGGGTCCTCCTTTTTCACGACTTACTTGATTGAAAAATGGGGAAAATGCAGCGTCTAATCAATCGGGTACGGCAATTGAGACCGGGTTGTCGTTGACAACGGCAACATGGAGGAAATTTCGCGTTTGTTGTCTTGCCCAAAGAAACTTTGGACGGCGGACCGTCCGAGCCGGGCTTCAAACCCTTCGGCGACCGGACGACCCGCTTGACCAACCAAACGGCTTGACTTTGGGACCGGACTCGAGACGCGACCTAAAGGTCTCGCCGTGGCTTTATTTTGATGCACCTCGTCTGTCCTCAGGTATGACGACTACTACTACTACTCCACCCCGCAACACATGCCGCCTCCCGGTAGAGGGCGGGCCCGGGGCGGCAGACGGGGCGTCGGCAGCTACGCGTACACGCCCGACTACTACGGCTACGAGGACTACTACGACTACTACGGCTACGACTACAACAACTACCGCGGCGGCTACGATGACCCCTTCTATGGCTACGACGAGTTTCAGGCGCCCGCCCGGAGCCGCGGCGGCGGCAGCAGGGGCGCCAGGGGCGGCGCCTCCCCGGGCCGAGGGCG